CTAAAATATGAACACCATCACAATTCGATTAATATTTGACCTTTGCTTGATTATAAAGGGGCAAATGAATATCGCGTATATTTGAGTTTCAGAATGTCATTGTGCAATGATGTTGACATTACTAATATTACTAAATTAGTCCAAATTTTATCCATGTATATGCGAATTGTGAATCTTTCAGGTTGATCTGCAATTATCGTTGCATCAGCATATTCGTTTTTCGCCGTACTCGCTTAAAACTCTTACTTTGAATTCTCTAGAGATGCTTTCCATCCATCATTTATCGTGTTGAAAAGAAGACTTTGTTTTTATTCAACTGGATAATGTGTTGTCACATTCGTATACCTACTTACCACTTAAAACTTTAAAATCAAATTTTAAAACAACTGTATCTGCGTTTGCTAGGGCCAAGTGTTCATACTATTATTTGTTGGCAAACGTCAGAACTGCATGTTTCTGCGAAAGTACGCATAAGTTTAGTTTATGTTCAATTTTGATCTTGCTATGACAGATTGTTCTCTTGATCAAAATAAATGTAGGCCTGTTATGACCGGTTGCACATATTTGATTAAGGCTTAAGTGTCCTAGGGTGATTGGTTGACCCTTGACATTACCCAATCGGGATACAAACACGCCCCCAACCAAATGCCGTAATATTATTTGGACCCTTGTTAACACTGTAATATTTTAGTTGTACAACTGGACCATAGATGCGCAAAATGACTGATTTATTTCATTTGCTAAGACTTACGAAATGTGGAAGTGAAACGCGATAAGCGATTCCATAAAGGTGGCCAGATTATAAAACTTCCATAATCGTGAATTGACGTTTGAAGAGGGAGAAGTCAGTTCTTTCCTTTTTATTCGCGTCTTCAATTCAGGATTACGTCTCAGAATGAGAGTCACCGATACAAAGTTTTAAGGAATTTGAAATCAAAGTTTCAGCTGTATCAGTTAGCCGTCAGCCAAGTTTAGGCGTTGGGATAACAACGGCTATACGTGCTGCCTACTGGAAGCGGCCTTCCCTTTTGCATGGAGGGGCCCTATAGGGCTTTCAGAGTATTTTTCAGATTCGATCTCTAATAGACCATCAACTCAAACAAGAACGCTGGGTTTACAGCGAACGGGTAAGAGGGCAGAGACACCCAAATGAACCCTTAAGACTTGTACTTAGGTCGAGTCTTATTTAATGGTGGATTTCTGGCTCTGAGACTTTAGGATTGAAGGATGAGAGAGGACGGAGCAGGCACTTGGTGGTCTGCTCGGTCTATCTCCCATACGAATAAGCTCCACCTACGCGTAAACTGGTTGAGTTGATAAAGTACTGTCATAATCGTAGGCGCTCTCTTGTAATTGGCTGTTATGTTAACGCACACCATGCTGCGTGGGGCAGCACGGACCTTCTCGAGCACTTTGAAACAACTGATGTGAATAGCCTAAATCAAGGAAGAGCCCCACCTTTGTCACAGCGCGGGGTCAGGAAGTAATCGATCTGATGCTGGTTCCTTCTCAGTATAAGAATTCAGTCTTTCCAAAGGGCGTGGCACCATGCATATGTACATTAAAATTTTCGAGTTTAGTTCAGTTTTCCGTATAGATCCCGAAAACTTCATTCGACAGAAAACGGTTAACAAATTTAAGACAGGAAAATTATGATGTCGATTGAACCTTATAAATTCGTTCAATAATAAACCATACAGCAGGTGCTGCAATGAAAAAACTGAAGTTGCCGGTTCTTTACAACTTTGATCTTGTGTGAACATTTGAAGACTAAATTACGGGAATGGTTAATTTACTTCGGTGGCACATCAAGCTTGTTTTACCCATGAAATTTGTAATGCTTCATTTGCTCCATTACAGAGCATTATTATTGTTTACGGTTTATTACTTGTTGAAAGATCCCCGTAATTTTTGAAAGCAATTTAATAGATGGCTCTACCTATAGTTGGAATTTAACAACGCAATTATGCCGCGCATATGGCCAGCGCTTTGATTAGTGCCTGTCGATTGTCTTCTTCCTTTTCTTTCGTGAGGCGTATCGAAGGGCACCTCAATTAAACAGGTGAAAGCGTAAGTTAGAACGCATGGAATTTGAATTGCCATCATCTATATATATTTTAGTCTCCGGGGATTGGATTCATAATTTGGGGATTCGGTAGTAAGTTTTGGACGGAATCACCTATACTCTAGTGAGGATATAAATGTGCGTTCTTTTTCGTTCGGCTGTAATTTATCATACTTCAATTTCCATCGACGATTGTTGCATTCGTCTACGATTAGCCCTCTCATTTAAGAGAGTTTTAATTTGGTACCAGTTTAATCACCACTTCCTTCTAAAGGGGTTGACCATTTAAGTACTGTACCTCGTATAGAAGCAGATTATAAGTAGAGCGAGGCTCTTCAGGCATTAATCAATTGAGCTATCCGTTCAATGTGATCATTCCAGTGCGCATTTCCATTTTTTTTTAAAAGGTTTATATGGTTTGCGCATAAGACGTTGGGGTAAATTATCACTAAGTATTTATCATTAGAAATTTTAATTTAAATTATTTATTAATTTTAAGATGAATTTTTAGTTAGGAAAATTACATGGAATTGTCCATTTTGTCGAATTGTAACCTATAACGTTTGCATCATAAATAAACCAAACTATATATTATCCCTGGATTTGCCAGTATTTTTGATTTAAAGCTATTTCAAGATAAAGGATAATTACATTTGGCGCTTTATCTGGGCACAACATTCCCAATTTTTGTTGTTATCAATCTACTTAAAATAAGTTTTGGGTATACCAAAATTATATCATTTATTTACCCCATAGTACATAACAGGTATTTCCATAGGCAAAGCGGAAAAGGTAATAATAATATTTTCAACCTTATACACCGTGAAACATCACACTCCTCACTCAACCGTTTTCTTCCTGGGGGCAACATGGTGTGGGCGAGATTAGTGTGTACCCGCATCACCACGGGCCTGGCACTCCGTTGTAGACTGTCACGTCGCTATCGCCTAGTTGGTGAGCTGAAATAGCGGGCATGTGCGTGGACTGGTTGAGTCCACTTACCCGTCCCATTTTGCCTTAACATGCTCGTGAAGGCTTCTTCCGGTCGTTCTAGAATCTAGATCCTCAACCTGGGCGCTTGGTGTTGAGGACTGCAATCCACCGCGACGATTTTTGTCGGGATGTCTGCTATGTTGACTTAAATTCTCCTAACGTCCAGCGGTTGGTGAAAGAAACGTCTGTGAACGAATACGCTATATCTTCCAGCACTACCGATCCCGGGGGTGACAGGTGGTGGTATTTCAATCACCCTCGTCGGTTGTGGGACGGCGTTGTTACCGTCCGGAGGTGACGTGGCTGCTGATATGGTGGTGGTGCGATATGGATTGAAAGGTATTTTTATCGTGGTTGGTGTTATTGACCTTTCACTGGTGTCTCCAATGATGCCTAGAGAAGTGACGGTGCGTTGCGGGTGAGTATAGAACCACCGGAATGGCTGTGGCTGCTTTTTCTCCACTCGTTGAGTTGCTTCAGAATACGTAGGTGATTTCTTCTCTATGGAGGTCTGCAGAGAACTGTCAGGGGTGGGGTAGTACTTGGGTACCCCCTCGAAACACACAAACAGCTTACCAGGTTCGCTCGGATGTCATCAAAAAGGCGACATCCCCACCGCATCCTTGAATGAGCCCGTGAAATTTATATGAAATCCTTAATGAACTATACAGGGTGACAATTTGAAAACGTACCACCCCCCATATCTTAGTAAATAAACGAGATATTTAAAAAAATCAAAATCCGTTTCGGTAATTTGGAGGGGGAATCACAATGACATAGTTGGCGACGTACCCCCTCCAACCCCCTGCGCCCCAGCCACCCCAACTTTTAAATCTTAAATAGTGACCCCCCATGTGTGATACGTCTTTGGAAAGCTCTGAAAAAAATGCTTTCCAACCATACCAAATAGCATTACATTTAGGTTAGTAATTATCGTGCAAATCAAAAAATAAACTAATATGATTTGAAATCTGTCGTATTTAAAACGCAACCGGCGAACATAGACGAACTAAGACAGAGAATAATTCAAGAATGTCGAAATATTGCAAAACCAACATTTGAAAAGGTTCGACAAGAGTTTGAGAATAGATTATAACTGGCGATCAAAAATGAGTTGCTGTCAAGTCGGCTTTGGAAATTCAAGTTAAATACGATTTTCCATGTTTATTTTTTGATTTGCACGATAATTACTAACCTAAATGTAATGCTATTTGGTATGGTTGGAAAGCATTTTTCAGAGCTTTCCAACGACGTATCACACATGGGGGGTCACTATTTAAGATTTAAAAGTTGGGGTGGCTGGGGCGCAGGGGGTTGGAGGGGGTGCGTCGCCAACTATGTCATTGTGATTCTCCCTCCGAATTACCGAAACGGATTTTGATTTTTTTAAATATCTCGTTTATTTACTAAGATATGAGGGGTGGTAAGTTTTCAAATTGTCACCCTGTATAGTCAATTATCTTTTAAAAAAAACAAGTCGCAAATAGAAATGGAGTTGATGGGTACTCTTTGTGACGTCAGTTTTTCTACGGTGAGTGACGGTTTCTCGCG